GGACAATGGTGGGGAGAGGGACTGGGGAGGGGGGTGGGAGGGGGTGGAACGGGTCATTGGGGAGAAAAAGGGACATCAGTAGTATTTTGAACAAAAATTTAAATAAATAAAATCCAATCTACTCTTCAAAAATCAACTCAAATAGTGTCCTTACCAGACATTCCAGTGGGAATAATCCTTCCCTCCTCTAAATTTCCAGAATTGTTTATTTCTTACACCTACCACAGTCATCCACAGTAGGTACACAAAAGTAATTTTTTCCCCTCATTGTCAAATCCTAGTCTTAATAGAATACAGGTAAGAAATTAACCCTTGGGACCTATATTTAATTTCATTAACCAATGTCACCCTAATAAATTCAATTAAAAATTTTTGAAAAAGAAAAGAAATCAACCTTTAAAGCTGAGCTTGTCTAGGACATCTATACATCTCTGGCTTAGTTAAAGGCCTCCAATTTGTATTATCTTTAGTATGGTCTGTATAGAATGGAATGGCACAATTTGCATGTTGCTTCTGCTGCAGTAAGCCATATGTCTTTTAATACACAGTGGCATCTCTCTCACATCTGAATAGAGAGAGTGGCCCTTCTCTTTTCTATCTCCTCAAAGCTCCCAAATGTGATCCTGCTCAAAGGAAGACAGAGTTATGCTCAAATGATCTTTCCTATTTTCACTTCTAAACTGAGTTAATTTTTAAAAAGGAAACATTAGCACTGGCTGGTGTGGCTCAGTTGGTTGGAGTATGGTCCTGTACAAGGAGAGGTTGAGGGTTCGATTCTCGGTAAGGGCACATTCCCAGGTTTCAGGTTCAATCCCACTTCTGGGGGGAGGCAACCAAATGATGTTTCTCTCTCACTCCCCCTTCCTCTCTATCTAAAATCAATAAAACCTTTAAAAAGGAAAGAAAGAGAGAGAGGGAAAGAAAGAAAGAAAGAAAGAAAGAAAGAAAGAAAGAAAGAAAGAAAGAAAGAAAGAAAGAAAGAAGAGAAGAAGGAAAGAAGGAAAGAAAAGAAAGAAGAAAGAAAGAAAGAAAAGAAAGAAAGAAGAAAGAAAGAAAGAAAGAAGAAAGAGAAGAAGGAAAGAAAGAAAGAAAAGAAAGAAGAAAGAAAGAAAAGAAAGAAGAAAGAAAGAAAGAAAGAAAGAAAGAAAGAAAGAAAGAAAGAAAGAAAAGAAAGAAAGAAAAGACCTTTTTCAGAATTTTTACTTGGCTTGTTTCCAAAATGGACTAGAGATGGGATTGGACTGTTGGTCACAATGCCATTCTTACTCCTGGGTTATTCTAGAGCTCACTCAGTTTGTGTCATATCCTGTGACACGTGGCACTTTTCTTACCCTACTTTACCTTAACCCCAGACCACATCCTCCTGCACCTGAAAGGCGGTTGACTGAACATATTTGAAAAGTAAATGCTCTTCTGAGGCATGATATGTTGTTTGCATTCTGTAATCTCTGTCCTCAATATGTGTCATTCCATGCATCAGCATAGTGGAGACACTGACGTCCCATGGGAAAAGTCCCTAAACGGGCTTCTAGCTGAGAAGGACCGGGCAGGAACCTCTACTG